ATGGGGATCGGCCCCGATCCGCTTCGGTGCGAGGGAGAAGGGGGACAGCGCCCGTGACGGAGACCCCCGCGGGCCTCCTGGATCCTGGCAGGATGAGGGTGTCCGGGCGAGTGGTGGTTCAGGGGTGGTAGGCTGTCACTTGGTCCAAAGGGCCATCCCAGAGCAGCCGTGCTAGCTTAGTGTCTTTAAACAATCCCTATATTGTATCCGTCTTCGTTAAATAATAATTTTTTGCTAAACCGTACTTCTTTTCCTTGTCTCTACTTTTCAATGTTAGCCCTCCGGTGCCTAACCAACATGATTGCAAAGGTGAGACTTCAAGGAGGAGCAAGAATAAAAAACCCGGCACAATCACTCCTGGCACTGTAGTCATGACCTATGGCACTCTTCCTGAAGGGACGGCTGAAATGCTCACCGAGTCCAAGGCCTGAAGGTCAAGGTCTTGCTTGTTCTCACCCAGCACAGGGGAGAGAGCCAACAAACCACTGACAGTGGAGGGTTGTTGCCTAACAAACTCCTTGTCTGGGTCTGTTCTGTAATGCAGTCCCCAACCGCCACAGCTGAAAGCTTAGAGCAAGCAGCAGAGATGGTTTCCTTGTGTCTCCACACCACGGTGAATTTTAAAGCTTCTGCAACCAAGAAATCTAAGCATGGAGATAGTATCGTAAACCACAAGCACCTTAAATGCTAATGGACCAGACTCTTCACATGCTTTGGGTTTTGACAACAGTACCTACTGCTACTTTCACCAACCAAAATTCCTTTTTTAAATAAAAGATATGAAAATGCAAACTGAAGTTTGAAATAAATTAACAGTATTAGTCAAGGCTAAGTCACTGTCACAGCTTAAACACACTGCTGACAGCACCATGGTGTAACGTAAAATGGACGCTACGCCTGTTTGTTGGTGTTTCTTTACAAGCATCTAGGTGAAAACAAGGATTCTGCAAAACACAGAAAATGTATGTCCTGGGACATGGAATAGAGTTTTTAATTTGTGTTCTTAATTTGCTAATGAACTCAGATGACTAGGCACTCTAGCGGGTTGAGAAGGGCAGGATATGGTTCATGTTATTAAACAATTTTTTAAAAAATATATTTAAAAAAAATATCAATGCCGCCTTTGTCCTTAAGAAGAAAAAAATTAGTTTCTAAGAAGAAACAAACAGTAAAATCCTTTAGAAATTCCCTCAGGGTTTTCTATGTACATTGTAGCAGAGCTTAAAAAAAAAAAAAAAAAAAAAAAAAGGTAAAAAGACAAGACAAAGCCTAGCACACATTTCCACCCCCTTTTCCAGGTCATTTCGAAAGGCTGTTAAAAGCAGCCTGCTTTTCCCTTAACCCCAAAGGGCCCAAGACACTTTTCAGTGAGAGCTTTCCCGTACTGCACAGCACAAACCAAAGCAACTACAGCAGAGAGACGCAAAGCAGCGCAGGTACAACAGTAAACACTCATAACAAAAAGCAACAAAATCACAATCTGCACTATTTCAAAGGCAGAAACTACCCAACGTTAAACCCTGTACAGTTTTTCCCGTAATAAAACACCTCCACCACCCAAAAGGCCTGACATGGACCAGACCTTCCACAGGCTGAGGTATACAGTAACAATAATTAGTGTTAATGACACCAGTACTTTTTCTGTACTTCAGCTAGGCTCCCCTTGTTCCAGGGGTTGTATGTTAACGCTCAGCTAAGAGTGGCGACACCGAGACTTCCACAGTTGACAGAAGACACCGATCACCAGCGTGACTTTTACTGCTGTCTTTTATGGGCCTTGTCATCAGGTCTCGCTGTGCTGAAAGCGGCGATTGCCCCGATGCTAAAGCTTTCACTAAGGCAAGGGATTTTTCAGGGCAGGGAAAGAAAAGTTTCCTCCACCACCATCAAGTTTTGCAACAGTCCTCAGAGGCTGAATTTCTAGAAGGGAAGGAGAAAAAAAAGAAACAAAAAACCCCAATGTCTTTCAGGGCTGTTTTGTACATCGTGATAAAACTAGAAAACAGATGAAAAAGCTGAGATTCCCCCCCACCCTCAACACCTCCTGCCGATCATCTTAAAAATTACCAGGTCAGAAGGTAGAATTCAGCTCCCAACAGCATGACCCCAGCTATTCCTTCATTTCATTCCAACAGCTGCGTTTGGAAAATATTTAGCAGAAGCTATTACCAGTCACGGTGCTGAAAGGGTAACAATCGACACTGTATCATGAGGACGCCTGCTATAAAAGACCTTTTACATCTTGGCCTTTTACGAATGCTGCAGCAGCTCTTATATTCTGTTTTTCCATTTCTCCTGTGCGTGCCACTCCCGAGTCACACAAACACAACCCTGTTTGACAAAGCCACAGCCCGCGCCATTTGACAGTAGGCAAATACACCACGTTTTCAGTGCGTCCTTTTACCATTCTGGCCAATTTGCGGTTTGGTGACGTGGAAATGACACAACTCTTCTGACAGACAGGCACGGTGACCGAGAACATCTGCGTTCCTAGTGAACAACCTGCCATTAGGTACTGCTGACTCACCTGCCTTGCACAGATGGAGGGAGATCTTTAAACTGGCTTCACTCACGCCAGTTGCTTTCCCAGAGGGTCACGTTAGGCAACTGCTCTTAATGGCGTGTGCCGAAATGCTGCAGAAAGCACTTCCGCAGCACTCCCATTTCTCCTTAATTACTGCAGATGATATTAAGACATGGGTTACACCACCTACTAAGCAATGCATTCAGAGTCCTGTCAGCACAGGTAGCGCTACATCCCGGGGACAGGGGACAGCTAGGGTGCCATTTTCCCACCTCCCCTAGGCAGGCAGTGGTAGTAGGAAAGCATGCTCTTCAGTCACTGAAGCATGTTCTTATGAAGTCTGAGTCCTGCTGCGTTAATCACATTATGAAATTAGAATTTTTAACGAGAGGATGGGGGAAGCAGTCATTTCCCCTTTCAGTTGCTGGGACGCCGTTCCTTCTTCTTGCCTTCAGACCGTACTTGCGTATCTTGCTTTCCACGAAAGTGACCCGTGGTGCCCACCAGCTCACATGCCACCTTCCCACAGGAATAAATGAACACCAGCAAGCCATGTTGATTGGGATCTACATCTGCATTTCTTCTCATAGGTGCCACTGCATCTCCAAAATGATCATTTCTGGAGAAGTAGCCTGGCATTTATTTCAAAGTAAGAGGACACACAAGCTCTTGGTCAGATGCATGTGCTTCACAACACTGGAAACTATTTTTTTATGGGCCTAACAGAAGGAGTAAGAGTATAATGGACTAAGTGTTAGGGGCCTCACCACATATATAAAAGCAATTTAAGCAAAACACTACATGGGATATAAATTGGCTGCAAAAACACTTCAGCAGAAAATTGTGTCCCCAGAACTCATAGAGGGAGGTCTGGAACAGCCTTCCAGAAAGCAAGCTGAAGCCAAGATCCCAGCAGATACCAACACTGCACAATTTATTTAAGAACATGAGTACAACTCTTTATGGTATGGAGACGGTTTCATGTGCCCAGAGGTCTTTTTCACATATAAGTTATTTGGGTTTTTTTCTTACTTTTCTCTGATTAGAAACAGAAGGGGTATGTGTGTGTGTGTGTGTGTATTTCATTAGAGGCTGTGCCAACTGATTTGAAGATTGTTTTATGGCTACAGTAGGGGGTTGCGTGACCTGTGCTGTACTTTTTTCTCAGGCACTTTCTTCCTGCATGGACTTGGGCAAGTCACAAACAATTTACACCGCCTGCCAATGAGCAAGCCTGGGCTGGCTTCCTTCAGTTTACCCAATTCACATAAACTGCATGGACTATCTTAATATTTGTGAGCCATTGTACAACAGGGCTTCCAGCCACGCTAAAATGTTTAAGTATTTATACCTTGGTGCTTTTTGTAGTTTAACATTTAGATCAGAAGTTGTTCCTCAACATCCAGCCTCTGAAAAAAAAGCAGAGGATGTCATGGGACCTCATGTCTTGACAACTCGTTCCTTTCAAGTAGTTTTGACAGAAATAGGACTACCTATTCTTCCAGCTCTGCTTTGTGCACATACTCCAGCAGTAATGCCTTCAGTCGTTGTCACTCTGCCGCTCTTCTCAGCCTGGCCCCAGGGAGAGGCTGGCTGCACGCTGGGTCACAGCAGCATCAGCACCTGCTTTCAGGAGAAGCAGGTCCACTCTGTGGTCAAACAAGCTGGCAGCAGAACTCACATTACCTTCCACTGCAGGACAGTCACACCAGGGCTCTCCTATGGTCCCCAAAGGGCACCTGTTGCCTCTGCAGAAAGTCTTTTACTGCTGTATTTGCAAGGTTAGAGACAGCTTGGGATATACTTGCTTGTGCTACAACCGTTAAGTCAGGACTACGTATGGATCGTAAAACACTCCTTGCACTACACAGCGCTTACGGCCATATCTTAGGGCAGGACAAGAAGTCTTAGAGCGAAAGAGATCTGATCCACCTATGGTATAGGAGACAGAGGGAACATCGAAAACATTGACCTTTAATTCCTGGTCCCAAACTGAACTGGTAGGTTTGGGTGGGGTTTTTGGGGGGGTTTTTTTGGGTGGGGTGGGAGGGGGAGAGGGAAAAACTCTACCTCACAATGAAACTGAACCATTTCTCATGTTCTCTTTCAGAGACTGACAAGATTATACTTAAGTCTTAAATGACTGACCAGGAGTTTCTGTTGGAAGTGAAACTGATTCAATGATTTAGCCACTGGTTAAGCTACTGAAGAACCAAAAGACAAAGGCTACTCTCTTCACTTCCTCTCAAATCCATGAGCACCAATCCCAATTGATTCTCGTGTTCAACTGTCCTCAAGTCGTATGACTTACCCAGTCCTTCCACATTTCCTTCTCTCCCCAACAGCAGCTGCTCTCTTTTCCATCTATGACTCCTCACCCTCCTCTCCTTCACGGGTCCTGGAAACAGCTGCACCGTAACCAACCACTTTGACTTGGAGCTCCTCTTTCAAAGGGCGCTGGGGCATCACAACATTTTAGGAAATGGATGTGCTTTTTTTCCACGCAGGTTACCAAAGACTGGAGCTGCAACCATCAGAATGAGCTTCAACTGTCCCTTCTTGAGAAGGGAACTGTCACAGTGGAGGAGACACCGAATGCACTGCCCATGCAGAGCTGTCCCTAAGGATTAGCCAACTTGCCCTAACAGCTCAGGGAAATCAGTAATTTTTAAAGAGAAGAAACTGATGTTGCACTATAGTCAAGTACTCTCCATATTGCTCACTGACTTACTGAAAGTGAGTTGGTTTAAGAGAAGTAACAAACATCACTGATCATTGAAATTATTAGTTTATATTGATGTTTCAAGACAGGGAATTCAAGACTACCCACAGCGTGGCAATATACCTCACTCCAGGTCACAGTGAGTGAAGCTTGAGCCCAAACTCAACTTACAGCTTTGTTAGGACTTCAGTCTACAACAACCAACTTACATCACATTGAAGGTAGATATTTAAAGGAGGTTTATTGGGGCTAGTACTAAATTCAAACAGCCACAAGATAATTTTCCATGTTTACCACACCAACTGTTGACAGATGAAGTCTCAGTGGAAAGTCCAAATTTTCATTTCACCATGACTTCCTGAAACGTGACTACAGATTTCAAGATTTGGCATTTGATCTTCAGAGAGACATATCATGTTTAAGAACATTCTACCAAATACATTTAAATCATGACTCAAAACCAAAACAATTTGGAATTTTTGAAACATAAAGCTGTTAGTATGAAATTAGCTTTTATTTTTTACCTCAAAATAAATGCACATTTATCATTTATTCAAATGAAAATGGAAAAGGGGTATCTTAAACAAGAGGGAAGTTTAACAGAGCAAATATCGCCAAACATCCTCAAGTTCCTTCTCCTGCTGTTGCCCAGCTCTGTTTGGCTAAAACCACAAGCTTGTGGGTTGTTTTTTTTTTTTTTGTCAGTTTGGTCAATTAAAAGAAACACTTGAAAGCCCCATGATTAGAAGCGGTATAAAACAAAACCAGGTACTCGTTCTCATCAGAATTCAGGTCCATGTGTTGCCACACATTTATATAAAACTTTCATTAAGTGTTGTACTAAATAGGATTTAGTAACCTCTTCTGCAGTTTAGCTCTTGATACCTTGGTAAGAGAAGTCAATGCGTAAGCATGTCAGAAGTCAACGCTATAGTGTAACTACAGTATAACTCTAACAGGGCTCCTAAATACTGTTCACCAGAGTGACGTCTTATAGTTGAATTTCAGTTTCAGCAGGTACTTCAGATTTACCTGAGCAACGTCATACACAATATATCTGGGAAGAATGTTAAGGAATACTTACAGTTGTTGATATTACTAACACAGGAAAACGTCAAAACACAGTCAAACTTCACCTTTGAACTTAAGTTACTACACAGATGCCTGTGTGATTAAGCAGTTCTAACAGAACAACAAAATCTAACCACAGATATTTACATTTGATTTTTCTTTGAATCTGAAAATGTTTTATTCAATAGTTAGAAACAAGAAACTAAGTCATATGGAGAATTAATGATGG